CATCAACGAACAACCATTTAAATGCGAATTTCAAGAAAGGGACATAAGCGGGAAAATATCAAAAATAACCATAGAGTTTAACAGTTACCTGTGATGGTTACGAAGTCCTTTTGTGGGGAAAACAAGAATAAAACTTCTGCATCTCCAACAAGCATGTCGTAAGAGTCGACTAATTGGGGACTTCCTTCAAAGTCGGAGTGCATCTCCCTGAGCGGCAAGCAAAAGCCAACTGCACACAAATAAGCTAGTAAAACGGATGTAAAAGCAAAGCTCAGGCCCTGGCACAAAGTACAAAGTCCAGATGGGCGTACAACTACGAGTCTTCGCCGGAGATTACAGCTGGTGAACTAAGAAGAAGAAGAAGAGGTTTAACAGTTACCCCATGTGGGTTTCCAGGTCCATTTCGGGAAGAGGGAAGAGGGAAGAGGGGGGGGGGTAGACCCACTGCCTTCCTTAAACGCATGTCGTACAAAACTAATTGTGTGATAAATGATAGCCAAAACTAAACTGTGTGATAAATGATAGCCACACCCTGTTGCCGGGGGCCCTAAATAAAGCCGGCTTGAAATATGGCCTAACGGCTGAACGGGGTAAGTCCCCAACTAATTAGGAAAGTTTCTTTCGAAGTCGGAGTACAACTGCCTAATAGAAGAGCAATTAACAGCTCGCATTTAAAAACGCCATATCTGTAAAACAGATGTGCACGAAAGATCTGGAACAAGACCAAAGTGCAGATATGGACGATCAACCAGAACTTTTCACTGGAGTTTACAGTCGGTAAACGCTAGAAAGAAGAATAGTCATATTCTCGTAAGTAAACTGGCAAATGCTTTAAGTTTTGAAATCTGACTTTTTGAAATGAGACCTAACGAAATGTGACCTATTGAAATATGTATTCGAATCGGATTCGACCCCAAGACCTTCGATCTAACAGGCAATTCATTAGGCGGCGGTGGCTCCCATTGGCGAAAAGAGTTACATTGGTCGCAGTGTGTGTAAAGCAATCTCCTCTTCCTCCTTCCTAAGCACAGTTTGGGCTCGATGGACGGGGCTACCAGGCTGCGCCGTGAGACCCTGTCGAGGCTACGTTCAAGTCTGAACAAGCCCGCCCAGCGCTCAATTATTGGCCCAAGTTGAGATCAATAGCATTCTTTCCCTAACAACATATCGTCTGCGTCTGTCGGCCATCATTGATTTCATGTGCCTGTGTTTCTGTTGTTTTTCCCCTGCAATTATTCATCATGAAACGGTGAGTTAATATGCTGTTACGAGAAGTGTTTTAACAGTTAAGTGTAACTCTGTTAGAAATCTACATCAGTCTGTGTGTAACAATATCGCCGTTGAGGCTGCCTCAAACACTTACACAACATCCGTAAGCGCACCTGATCTATGTACAACACCTCTAGTCCTAGACTCTTGTCTCGTTTTATCCTAAGATGTTTTCAGGGGCCATGTAGCCTGAGAGTTGAGGTACCTACATCTCCCGCTACCATACAGCCCTAGAAGAATGTTTAGGGGCAGTGGTTGCTTGGAGACTGAATGTATGAATGTATGTATGTACATGTTTACTCGTGTACATACATATGCACATAGTCTTCTTCCTCTTCTTTAGCATTCAGAGCTCCTAGGGTTTATTAATGCAGATGTCAGCAGACTTGGGGTCGAAGCATGGGACCCACACCCCTCCCTCCTCAACCCCTCCCCACCTTTGTAAAACTTCATTTCGCGAAGAAACAGATACATCTATGCCTCGATTTCAGATAGATTCAAACGGACAACCTATATATTGGTATTACGTATACATGTTTGTATATGTGTGTGAATGTATATATGTATCTGTGTATGTGAATACACACTTATACATACATACAAAGGTATGCAGGTACGTTGATTGTGAAACTCAGTTTCGTAATTTCATTATGGTTGCGGTAGCTTTCAATGTTTATGTTACCTATTAATGCCGTCTGTAACCACTGTTCTTTTCTTGTGCATCCACTAGGAGAAGTCATCTTCTTTTTCTTTCTTTTCTCGTCTCACCGATACCAGGTTGTAGTCCAGTGTCGTGGTTTTCTTTACTTGTTTCACGCGAGTGGCTTGGTTGATTTTTTTTTTTTTTTTTAACGTATCCAGAAACCATGAGTTGTAAACCCTTTGGCTCGGTACTATAGATATCTCAACCCTTCGGCATTGATTCCATTATAGGTACCGTTAATCTGGGAGAAATGTGGCTTTTCTGCCTACCCCCGGGAGTAAACCCGGACCACAAGGAGTTCGTCACCCGGCCGCCGCGAAAGTTTTTGTTCATCTTTTTGCAGGTTATAGCTGCACTATTTATCCACATTTTTTTTTTTTTTTGTGTGTCTTCTTGCGTTCCTCCCATATGTTCTACTGTAAAAGTCTCATATGCAGTTAAGTCTGGCTAAATTCTCACAAACAATACCTATCATTTATTTCTCTTGGGAATACCAGTACGGTTTCCTTTATTGAACAGACTTGGAAC